GCTTAAAGATTTAACAAGATGAGAAACGGGGGATAAGTTCGAAGCTATTACCTGTTTGAAAACCATTCAACTAGACTACTCTCCTCTTTATGCAGGTTAGGAAACTGAGGCACAGAGATGTGAAGTGATGTTGTCCATCTGCCTCCTCACTAAGCAGGCATGAGACACGCTGGGGAGGCCCTCCTGCAAGACTTCTCTCTAAGACGCAGCTCTGTACCCAATACCACCAGCCGAGCTGCTAGATTCACCTCAACCGCTGGCTGCCTCTCAGTGGACAGGTCACTAATTTGGATATCTAACCATACCCCTGCCAAAAGACTTTGTTCTTAAGAACAAACCCATCACCAGAACTCTTAAGACAGGAGATTTTAAACCCATCTGCCACAATAAAAGAACAGAGACACTCATCTTTGAAACAAAAAACTTTGTCCTTACTAGGTCTGCAATTAGAAAGTCTCTTTTCTTCTAAGGTCACTTTTTAAATCAAGACTTTGAGCTTATCCTGTTTGATCCTCCTCTCTCTACTTGGATCCCCACAGCATACAGCATGGCATGGGGAGGCATGTGGGCTTTGGAATCAATCAAACAAACAAACTTAGGTCAATATTCCAACCACGTCATATGCCCGGATCTTGCATCAGTTATTTAACCTGTCTGAGCCTCTGTTTGCTCAGATTAAAAAAACGGAAGAGAATCCAATAGGGTTGTTGTGAGGATTAGAAATCACCTGGCATAAAAAACAGACAGACAGACAGTTGCCAGTGGGGTCAATTCCAACTCATGGTGACCTCATGTGTATCAGAGTAGAATTGTGCTCCATCCATAGGATTTTCAGTGGCTGATTTTTCAGAAGTAGACTGCCAAGCCTTTCTTCCGAGGTAACTCTGGGTGAACTCAAGCTTCTAACCCTCCCATTAGCAGCCAAGCACTTAACCATGTGTGCCACCCAGGGACTTCCACCTGTTGTTAGCTGTCATTGAGTTGATTCTGACTCATGCCAACTTGGCATACAGGGACTCAAAAATGCAGTAGTCTCAAAGTGTAGCCCGGAGACCACTGGGGATCCTGAGGCCTTTTAAGGGAGCCATGACAAAACCATTTTTGTAATAATACTAGCTTTATTTGCTTTTTTTCCACTCTCATTCTCTCATGAGGGTACAGTGGAGTTTTCCAGAGGCTGCTTAACATGTAATATTGCAACAGACTGAGCACAGAGGCAGCTATGAGAATCCAGTTGTTTTCAATTAAGCCAGGCCTAAAAGGGATTTGAAAAATGTAAAACAATGCTATGCTTCTCACTAATATTTTTAAGGCAAATACAGTTTTTTTTAAATAGAAATATTTATGTTAATATGCAGTGGGCACAGAATTGTTATTTTTAAATTAATTAATAAATATTTTTAAATTTTAACTTCTAGTGTGGTAAATATCAATAGATATAATCCCCATTAACTAAAGCTCTCTGGAGTCCACAGTAATTTTTAACAGTGTAAAAGGAGCCTAGAACCAGAAAGTTTGAAAATCACTGCAGTAGAGAGAATCTATTATTAGACAGTCACTCAGTGCCCTCCATGATCACTCCTGCAGTCCTCCACTAGACCCAGTTGCCCGGAGGTCTCTAATTCACCGAGAGAACGATCATCTGTTGGCCTATCACTACCTGAAAATGGCTAGATAAGCCCCTTTCCTGAGGTTAGACTAGTGAGTCTCAGAGTGAAGCACCAGGACCAACAGCATAAGTGTCACCAGGGAGCTTGTTAGAAATGCAAATACTCTGGCCCCACCAAGACCCCACCCTGGAGGTAGGGCCCTGCAGTCTGTCTTCACAAGCCCTTTAGGTGACTGTAATACTGGAGCTTCAGGGCTATAGAATCACAAAAATTGACTGAGAGGCACAGAACATGAGATGTCAAAGCTGAGAGGGGCTCTGGAGCAGTAAGTACACAAATCACCTGGAGGATCTTGTTAAAACGCCGATTCGTGTTTGGTAGATCTGGAAGGAGGCCCTCAGTCTGCATTTCTCACATGCTCCCAGGTGATGTCAAGGCTGCTGGCCCCTAGACCACAACTGAAATAGTGAAGTCATGCAGTCCAGCAGCTCTTGGACTTCACCGAATTAAGACTCTGATGGAAGTTATGGACTCTTTCCCTGAAAAATTGCATGCATACACTAAATCTGATGGGCAATTTATAGATGTTCACAGACCTCCTAAAACCCATCTTAAGGATCCCGCTTTAGGAACATTCTCTCTCATTTCCCATGATATTTATCCCTGGTTCCTGTATAACAGACATCTCCTTAAGCAGGTTTTATATGCATTTTCAACCTTTCGTTGCTGCAGGCTGGAATGCCTCCTCTCACATCCACTCACTCAAATCCTACTCATCTTCCAGGTCCAGCTCAAATGTCCTTTCCTTTGGTAAATATTAACGTCGTTTGTTCCAGGCTCCCACAGTGTACGTCCATGACCAGTCCTTCAGGCTGCCTTATTCTCCCGTTATTTGTTACCTTCCAGTCTCCCCAAAATGTTTAAGCCTTTGGAGATCATACTCATCTCTACATCCCCTACAGAAGCTAGTACATAACAGAAGGAACATAAGTGTTTGCAAAATGAATTAATGAATATTAATTCTTCACAAGACACACTAGTCAAAACATTCCTAACATTCAGACATATCTGTAATGATCAATTCAAGCCAATTACGGGGCATTTCTGTTTTCAGCATGTAAGGTTTTCTTATGAACGTTAAATTCAAAAGGATGAAAAAGGGAAAGAAGAAGTGGAAGAGAAAAAAGTGGGCATGCAACCCCATGTCCTCCCTCTGTATTCTCCATATGGAGCAGTACAGCATTCACGGCCAGAGGGAGGCCTGCTGTCATCTCCACTCAAGGAAGGGGGATCGGGATTAGAGGAGAACGCAGAAAGGTGAGAATTGATTATGTAACAAGGGGCACTCAAGGTGATGGAAGGACCCGGTGGGGCAGGGTCCTCTGGGGAGGGAAAGCCCTGGGCACTCACGGGGCAGTGAGAGGGGGTTGAACTTCCAGGGGTCGGGGTGGTTGAACCAGAGATGGATGAGAAAGGGTCAGAGAGGAAGTGAGAGGGGCCCAAAGACCAGCCTCACAAATTTTCTTAGGGCTCTGTTCCCTCCCTAGTTTCCCAAGGCCACAGAAGATGCCACCAAAGGACTTAAGTTGCACACATGGCAACCTCGTGCACAACAGAACAAAATGCAGCCCGGTCTTGCACCATCCCCATGATTGGTTACAGACCAGATTATTGTGATCCATCCGGTTTTCACTGGCTGATCTTCAGAAGTAGATCACCAGACCTTTCTTCCTAGTCTGTCTTAGTCTGGAAGCTGCAGTGAAACCTGTTCAGCATTACAGCAACACACAAGCCTCTACTGACAGATAGGTGGTGGCTGCCCATGAGGTACATTGGCTAGAATCGAACCCAGGTCTTCTGCATGGAAAGAAAGAATTCTACCACTTAACCACCACTGTCCCCCCAGCGCTCTGTAACAACCCTTCATTTCTCTACCCACTGCCAGATACTTCACTAGTTAGAGATGTACATGTGTGAAGCAATCATTCTGGGAAAGGATGACAATCAGTGAATGGGATGGGATTCTGACTTCTAGTCCAGCTGAAATAATTTTCACAGGGCCATTCATAACTGGGTGATGAACTTAGAATGATTATCTACTACTCTTGACATCAAGTACCAGTTGGGCTCACTTTCAAGCCCTGGCACAGGGACCCTAACCCCATCCCACCTGCCCAGGTCATACTCCAAAGAGGACAGCTTCTTATAGTCCCCACCCTTCCCACCATCCTTCTGTTCCCTCCCACCAGGGGCACTAACCCTTTCCCTTCACCTATCCAATCACAGCCATCCCTTAAGCTCAAGACCACTTCGAACTAATTGGAGACATTTTGATTCAATTAAGCCAAGGGAAACACGCAGCTTCCCACAAACCAGGCTGTGGCAGGACAGGGCCCTGGCCTTAAAGTGGGATGTGAGATGCTGAGCTTCTTTTCATAATGTTGCTGGGGTCTTTTGGTGTCTTACTGACTGATGCAGGTTATTGCCTGCATCAAAAAGTTACTCTTACACAGGTGCCATCTTATACATTAAAATAACTATTAGAGGAGAGTCACTCGTTGAAGTTGTGATGGTTGTGATACTTGCTGGTAATGGTGCCTCCTCAGTGGAGAAGAGCAGGGTTAAGGCAAAGGATAGGTTAGTGATGTGGGGATATACTCTTTATTAATTAATCTGATCCATTCTTCTCTTTTTGGAGTGTTAAGGGAACATCTTTTATTCTTTCTGAAATTACCCAGTTGTAGTTGGATATCAGGGTCCAGAGTAGCAGGCAGCTGCAGGGGCACCCAGGTCAGGTGAAGTTGGTGCCAGCACTGAGTTCACGACTCTGCTCTCAGTGAATCCCAGTAAAAAGTGACAGCAATTCCCCATCACACATATCACACAAGGCCCAGGGGGCATCTCTGAAGAGCACCTTTGGCTTAGTGGCATGTGGGGTGATACTGAGGGGGCCTGGTGCTCTCTGTAATCACAAACCTCACTTCTCAGTAACCGGAGATACTAGGTCCCTGGCGAGAGGACAGGAGTTTTCACCAACAAGACAGGTAGGGCTTCACCAGCCTCTCAGCCAGAGGATGTTCTGTGGAAATCAAGAGGGCGGGGCTCCAAACCAGCTCTCAGTCCTCCACTCCACAGTTTAGGAGAAGCAAGAAACACCCAGTGCACTTCCACTCCATCCCAAACACACACACAGAAATGTACCCTCACCCAGAAAGGACCAACTGAGATGTGAAGCCAGTTTTGCCTGAGCCAATTTGCAAAATAATTTCTGATACATGGCACAGAAAATTACAGGGGACAGAGACAAGTAAAACAAACAGGGAGGAGAGAGAGAAAGGGAACAGAAAAACAACATTGCTGGTACCCTTGCTCCCAGGCCCACAAACTTACTGGTTTTTGAAAGTAGAGTTGGTAATCAAAAAGAGGATTGGCTTTGATCGTCTCCATTAGGGTCACTTCGGGATTCATCGGTCTGAAGGGAGTATTCAAACTGGCCACTGCCCTAGGAAATAGAAGGTACCAAGATACAGACTCTGTAAGAACAGGCTACAAGAATAAGAAAGGACCTTACATGTTGAAACTGAAGCTCAGAAATAAAATAATTATATTAGAAAAAGCTAAACCACAGCCTCTGTTATGAGTTGATTTGTGTCCTCCAAAAAGATATGTTTAAGTCCTAATCCCCAGTATCTATAAATGTGACCTTGTTTGGAAATGGCATCTCTGCAGATGTAATTAGTTAACGTAAGGTCACACTGGAGTAGGGTGGGCTCTAACACAATATGACTGGTCCTTATGAAAACAGACAAAACACAGACACAGAGACACATGGGGAAGAACTCCAAATGACCACGGAGGCAGGGACTGGAGTGAACCATCTACAAGCCAAGGAAGACTCGGACCACCAGAAGCTGGAAAAGGCTCCCCTAGAGCCTTAATAGAGAGCACAGCCCTGCCGTCACCTTGATTTTGGACTTCTGATCTCCAGAACCGAGACAATAAATTTCTCTTGTTCTAAACCACCCAGTGTGTGGTATTTCTTGTGGCAGCTCTAGGAAACTAATACAATCTCCAAGTGACTGGCAAAGAAAGGATGTAAAAGGGTATTTGTTGCCAAACAGGTCAGTAGCCCCTTAAATTAAATACGTGAGCAACACCCACAGCTTGTCTCAGTAAAAAGCCAAAACCGAAGGTTAAAAGAAATGTTCCACATAAAGGTGGGCTTTTTTCCCTACTCATCATCGGGCTAGAAATGTGAAGATCAATGTTGTTAACAACATTCTTAAATAACAGCTTTTCCAGAAATGCTATGTCCCACCTCTCTAGCAACTTGGAAGAAGGTCTCGGTTTCCTCCCTCCTACCCACCACTGCAGTAATGCACTATCTTGCTGACGGTGGGTATAGAAGGAGAAACCACTACAAGAACTAACAATGGACATGATGAAAATGGCAAGAATAAGAGAGGTTTGAAACCAGAGCATGTTTGGGTGTTTGGATCTGATGTTATTCTGAGCAAAACCTCATCTGGTACTATAAAGTGGTGTGGGATTTCTGGGCCTACTTTGATCATGTTAAATGTTTTTTAATTTCTCACAGGAGAGGGAGATTAAGTTTAATAAAACAACAAGGAGGTGTTTTGGTGCTTCCTTGAAGGTAGTGACCATATGGTTGTTGCTATATTTTCTTTTGCTCACTTCAAGAAACATCTAATACAGTCTGAGACAGTAACTGTTTAGAAAACCCTAGTCTTAAGAACTGGGCTCTTATTTCCATTTTGAATGAAAGAGGATGGAGAGCAGCCAGAGAGATCAGAACAACAGTGTGAAAACTTTAATAATATTTCAGGAAATATTCAGTTAATTTTATTCTTTGATATAATCCCACCATTTGTGCTGAGGTTGAGCTGAACAAAGTCCTCTGGTGGTTTCCATTCTCATAAACATAGTCAAATTAAAAAACAAAAAACTTCGTTAGTTAGGAAAATACAGATGGCTGCTAAGGGTGATGTTTATTTAATTTGTTAAGATCTGAGTAAGGGAAGTCTGACAGGCTCTAACTTCAGCATGCCAGCTCAAATGGAGTGTGGCTACAAAGTCTGCCCAACTCTGGGTTCAAAACTTCTCATCTGAAAGCCCCTCCTGGTGCCTTGAAAAGTCATTCTAACTAACGATTATGACTGACATGAGAGTGACGCTGAATGCCTTTCTAGTCTCACATTTGTACAGTGTTTTGAAGGTGATAACCAAAGCCTGAAGCCCTAGCGGCACAGTGGTTAAGAGCTCAGCTGCTAACCAAAAGGTCGGCAGTTTGAATCCATCAGCTACTCCTTGGAAACCCTACGGGGCAGTTCTACTCTGTCCTATAGGATCACTACAAGTCAGAATTGACTCGATAGTAATGGGTTTTTTTTTTTCTCTCTCGGTTTTTGTTTTAACCAAAGCCCAGGAGTCCCTGGGTGGTGCAAATGGTTAAATGCTTGGCTACTAATTGAAGGAAACCCTAGTGGCCTAGTGGTTAAGTGCTACAACTGCTAACCAAAAGGCTGGCAGTTCAAATCCACAGCTGCTCCTTGGAAACTCTATAGGGCAGTTCTACTCTGTTCTATAGGGTCACTATGAGTCGGAATTGACTCGACAGCAATGGGTTTTGTTTTTTTTACTAACTGGAAGGTTGGTGGATCGAATCCACCCAAAGGCCCCTTGAAAGACAGACCTAGCAATCTACTTCCGAAAGGTCACAGCCCTGAAAACCATATGGAGTACAGCTCTACTCTAACACATATGGGGTCTCCATGAGTCGGAGTGGACTCAACAACAGCAACTAGGCTTTTTTTGTTTTGTTGTTTTGTTTTTTTAACCAAAGCCTAAGAGGTGAAATGATTTGTCACAGAGTCAGTTCAGAGCAGAATTAAAGGCTAGATTTTCAGACTCCCAGTCCAGGGCTGAAGCTCTCTTGGTGCTCAGTTCTACAAATCTGACATCCCTGCTGCCTTACCCACTCCCCCTCAAAGTCAACCACTCTTCTGTGTTCCCACTGTCTACTCAGGCTCCTATTTATCCCACTACCATTAGGATAGGCCTTGCGATGTAAGATGTTAGCTCATTAAATTCTCCTTGTTAATGTGTCAATGGGCACTAAAGAATTAACGTGTTGCCTTCCTAGATAAGCTATTTGTGTTGAAGTTTTCTGCGGTTAAAGGCATTTGGAACAATTCTAACGGGATTCTAGGCCCCTGCTCCCACTTTAGTCTTATCCAAATTAATTTGCTGCTCGTGGCCTAATTACCTCACTCTCTCAGGATAGCAGAGGGCTAAGTACCACACCAGCATGCCTCCCCAGTCGTGGCCAATGAACACTGCTTGAGAGATACCCTGCGGAAAAATAAAGAAGGGGGACCAAATGAGGGCAGGTTTGTGGGATGTAGTGCTGAGACCCTGAGGCCTCTCGTTCCCACTAGGCTCCTCCCTCAGCGGCGATCCTTTCATCCACTTCCTAGGGCTCCCTCACCCATCCCACAGGAGCTATTTCAAAGTCCACTCTCTTCAAGCCTCCCTTCCCACACATCACAGGCCCCCCACACACTGTAAACAAATTACGTCTTGGTAATTTTCATACAAGATTGAGGCCACTGGCCATGAGCTCCCTCTCCCCATCTACCCTCCCTCAAATCAAAATCTGCTTTGCTTGTCTCTTTTTCTCTTTTCTGTCTTAAAGGAAATACGGGTTACCTCTTCATATTCCATGTGTTATGGATTGAATTGTGTCCCCCCCAAATACGTGCTGTATACTCTAAGCCCTATACCTGTGGTTATAATCCCATCTGGGAACAGGTTTCTTTGTAATGTCAGCGATGCAGTATTAGTGTAGGATATGTCTTAAATCAATCTCTTTTGAGATATAAAAGAGCAGATTAAGCAAGCATAAAACGAGGGGAAGATACACACCACATGATCACTAAGGAACCCAGGAACGGAGGCTGAGAAGAGTCAAGGACTTTCCTCCAAAGCCGACAAAGACAGAAAGCCTTCCCCTAGAGCTGGTGCCCTGAATTCAAACTTCTAGCCTCCTAACTGTGAGAAAATAAATTTCTGTTCATTAAAGCCACCCATTTGTAGTATTTCTATTATAGCGACACTAGATAACTAAGGCGTCATGTTAATCTTTTTTTAAGTGATTATGATTCTACCCCCTCCACTCTTTTGGAAGCTTCCTGCCTTAACAAAAGCATCGTTAATCTCTCCCTTTCTACCTGCAACTTCCTTTCTGCTGCTGCTAGCAATGACAATGACAGCTCACTTTTATTGAACACCTACTATATCCCAGGCACTGTGCTAAGTGTTTATATCCATTATCTGGTATTCTTCCAATAACCGTCCAATACCCATTTACAAGTAAGACAGGTTTACAGTGGTTAGGTGACTTGCCCAAGGTCACAAAGATGTTAAGTGCTGGAGTCACAACTCAGACCCAGGTCTCCCCAACTTAAAATTGGGCTCTCTCCTCTACCCTATGCTGTACATTCAGCCACAAAGGGTCTTTAAGATCCTCCCTAGCTTCATCACCATATTGAAAAGTGGTTCTTTGTCTCAGCTCCCTGCATACTTCTGTCTCCTTTGTCTTGACAAATTTCCCATCATGGTCTACACCAGGTGCCTCCTAGCTACCTTCCTAAGTCCCTGTAGCTTGGCTTCTTCCCTGCTACCCCTCTTAAAGTTATTGATCATCAATAATAGTTTTTTCTCAGTCCTCACCTTTCTGACTGTCCTGCAGCATCGGGCCTTTTCTTTCAAACTTTCTTCCCTCGGCACCTGTGACACTTAGTCACTAGTGCTGCTCTAACAGAAATACCACAAGTGGATGGCTTTAACAAAGAGAAGTTTACTCTCTCACAGTCCAGTAGGCAACAAGTCCAAATTCAGGGCTTCAGCTACAGGGGAATGCTTTCTCCATCGCCTCTGGAGGAAGGTCCACGTCATTAGTCTTCCCTTGGTCTGGGAGCTTCTCTGCGCAGGAACCTCATGTCCAAAGGACGCGCTCTGCTCTTGGCGCTGCTTTCTTTGTGGTATGAGGTTCCCAACTCTCTGCCTTCTTCCCTTTCCTTTTATCTCTTGAGAGATAAAAGGTGGTACAGGCCACACCCTAGGGAAACTCCCTTACACTGGATTAGGGATGTGACCTGGGTAAGGGTGGTGTTACAATCCCATCTTTATCCTCTTTAACATAAAATTACAATCACAAAATGGAGGACAATCATACAATACCAGGAATCATGGCCAAGACAAATTGATACACGCATTTTTGGGGGGACATAATTCAATCCATGACATTCCACCCTTTGGCTCCCAAAAAATCACATCCCTGCAACATGCAAAACACATTCATCCCATCATATCATGGCAAAAGTCTTAACTCTAAGTCCAAAATCCAAAAATTCCTTTTCATCACTGAACTCTAGAATACAAGTTTTCTGCTTCCAAAGGTACAATGGCAGAACGGGCACAAGCTAGACACTTCCATTACAATTGGGAAAAACTGGAGGGAAAGAAGGGATAACAGACACCAAGCAAGTCAGCAGAACACATTACATTAGCCCTCAAGGCTTTGAAAATATACCTCTGTTCTCTGAGATAATTTACACAATGGCCCTGCCCCCCAGACTCTGGGTATTGACCACACTCTCCAGATTCTGAGTGGAGGCCCCTCGGTCCTGGGCTTCAGCTCTGCCTTCCAGGCCCACTGGGACAGCAACTCTGCTCCCTTGGCTTCAGGCGCACCATTCTCCTAGTTCACTGAAGTGATAACTCCACCCTTAGAAACACCAGAGGCCATGGCTCCACCCTGTGAAACCCCAGAAGTCATGGCCATTAGCTTTTGAAACTGAGGCAGCTTGGCTTCTTGTGTTCCTTCTCCCTTCAGCTTCTGCTTCCTGTGGCCTCTTGGCCCTCGGGCCTCGAGCCAGCATCTGCCCTGCTGGGGCAAGTGTTCCAAAGCTCGGTAGCTCCACCAATAAGTGCCCGGATGCACCCCACTCCACCAGAAAGCCTCGTGCGCACAGGCACTCAGCTCTCTCGCCTTGTGGGTCAGCAAGCCTAGCTCCACCGATAAGTACCCGGAGGCATCCCACTCCGCCAGGAAGCCTCCTGCACACAGGCACTCAGCTCTCTCGCTCCGTGGGTCAGCTCCAGCACTGTCTCGCACTGGTCTCCTGGTTCTGCTGCTGTCGGTTCTATGCCACTGCCGCTCCTCTGCCACTGCCACTTCTCTGCTCTTGAAGGTTTTCTGCTGCTGCTGGTCCTTTGTTGCTGCCACTGCTCTATCCATTCAGCTTCAAAACCGCTTCCACATTTTAGGTAACAGAGCAGCACCCCACTCTCTCCTGGTACCAAATGTCCTAGGCTGGGTTCTCTAGAGAAGCAAAACCAGTAAAGCGTATAAAGATATACAGAGAGAGATTTATATCAGGGAAATAACTCATGCAACAGTAGAGGCTAAAACGCTCCAAGTGCAGGGATCAGGGTAGAGGCCTCTCCCAGTTGACGGAGCCGCAGAAGCTGGTGAACCCAAGGTGAGCAGGTGGAGAGGGGCTCCCGCTCACAGGCTGTGAAGGTCAGTGAATCCCAAGATCAGCAGATAAGACAGCAAGGCTTTTCCTGATTTCACACAGCTGCAGGGGCTGGTAAACCCAAGGTCAACAGTTCGGGGAACAGGACTCTTGCTCACAGGCTGAGAAGTTTGATGAATTCAAAGATCAACATAAGCTGCTAGCTCAAGTCCCAAGAACTGGAGGTGAGACAACAAGAGGCAGCTGCTGAGTCTGGAACAAGCCAAAAACCTTGGCAAGGCGAGCAGGCGGAAAGTAACCGGCAGAAGGCAGAGAGATGAACTGAGGGGGTGCTGAGCTGCCACAGGCCCCGCCTCCACCAGTACCACTCAGCAGATTCCATCATTGGGGTGATCACAACATTATACAACTGCTAAACACTGAGAATAATGGCCTAGTCAACTTGACATACAATCTTAACCATCACAGACGCTATGGCCTTCAGACTCTTCTGACTTCACGGAGTCTACATCCTCCTGTACCCCTCCCTTAAAAGGTAGTACTGCACATCACAGCCCTCAGGACCCCACGCCTTTATAAACACTGGCCTTGGAGGAATCACTCACTCCAACGGCTTCAACTATCACCTCCAGGTGGAAGATGACCCCTAATCTGAAGTTTGCCCCACTCCTTCCTATGTGTTCCATGAATGACACATCTGGCCAGCAACCACAGAGTTTCTCTTTCAACAAATGGAATAAGAGACTGTTCTTAGCCAGCTTAAGTGTTTTAGATAAAAAGTCATATAGAGTTAGGGCTGGGGCAGCCACACTGGGCCATGTCCCCTTAGATGTCCCCATCACACCCAAAATCAATTCCATGACACTGAGAATCTGCAGAAGGCAGGGACCATGCCATCCTTACCTCACCTCCTACAGTGGCTGGCACAGTGCCTTACTGTTGAACTGAAGCTCATTAGTCATCTCAGATTCTTCTCTCACACCCACATTTAACTAGTAGGCACTAAATCCTGCTTCCACTGTCACTGTTCTGATCCTCTTCAGGCCATTCTGCAGAGTTTTCATTCTGACTCCCCAACTAATTTAGGGAGGTGGAGGGTGTTACAGAGCTTAAATCTTGGGAATAGTACACGTACTTTAAAAAAGCATATTCTCAAGTCACCATTGCTTGATCTGTTTGTCACAATTGATTCTGACATTTCAAATAACATTAAATCAAGGCATTAGATTTTAGATTTGGCAAAAGGGATGTAAGTTTTAAAAGGTTATGAAACATTAGCCAATAGCAAATGCATAGAGCACAGAGTTTATTAGCGGTCACCAGGGGTGGAGGGCGTGGGAAAAGGGGAAGTATTATTTAGGGAGCATTGAGTGTCTCTTTATGTTGTTGTTGTTGTTAGGTGCTGCAGAGTCAGTTCCGACTCATAGCGACCCTATGTACTACAGAATGAAACACTGCCCACTCCTGCGCCATGCTCACAATTGTTATTATACTTGAGCCCACTGTTGCAGCCAGTGTGTCAATCTATCTCATTGAGGGTCTTCCTCTTTTACGCTGACCCTCTGCTTTACCAAGCATGATGTCCTCCTCCAGGGACTGATCTGTCCTGACAACATGTCCAAAGTATGTAAGATGTAGTCTCGCCATCCTTGCTTCTAAAGAGCATTCCGGCTGTACTTCTTCCAAGACAGATATGTTCATTCTTTTGGCAGTCCATGGTATATTCAATATTTTTTGCCAACACCACAGTTCAAAGGTGTGAATTCTTCTTCGGTTTGCCTTATTCATTGTCCAGCTTTCATATGCATATGATGCAACTGAAAATACTGTGGCTTAGGTCGGGCACACCTTAGTCCTCAAAGTCACACCTTTGCTTTTTTACACCTTAAAGAGGTCTTTTGTAGCAGATTTTCCCAATGCAATGCGTCTTTTGATTTCCTGACTGTTGCTTCCATGGGTGTTGATTGTGCATTCAAGTAAAATGAAACCCTTGATAACTTCAATCTTTTCTCCGTTAATCATGATGTTGCTTATTGGTCCAGTTGTGAGGATTTTTGTTTTATGTTGAGGTGTAATCCGTACTGAAGGCTGTAGCCTCTGACCTTCATCAGTAAGTACTTCAAGGCCTCTTCACTTTGAGCAAGCTAGGTTGTGTCATCTGCATATTGCAGGTTGTTAATGAGTCTTCCTCCAATCCTGATGCCCCGGTTCTTCTTCATACAGTCCAGCTTTTCGGATTATTTGCTCAGAATATCCTGATTGCATGTTTGATCAATTTCAGACTGCAGAAGCTGGTAAAAATCTTCAATTTCTTCAACTTTGGCCTTAGTGGTTGGTGTGTAAATTTGAATAATAGTTGTATTAATTGGTCTTCCTTGCAGGCATATGGATATTATCCTATCACTGACACCATTGTACTTCAGGATAGATCTTGAAATGCTTTTTGATGATTAATGCAACGCTATTCCTCTTCAAGTTGTCATTCCTAGCATAGCAGATCATATGATCGTCTGATTCAAAATGGCCATTACCAGTCCATTTCAGCTCATTAATGCCTAGGATATTGATGTTTATATGTTCCATTTCATTTTTGATGATTTCCAATTTTCCTAGATTCACACTTTGTATATTCCATGTTCTGATTATTAATGGATGTTTGCAGCTGTTTCTTCTCATTTTGAGCGGTGCCACATCAGCAAATAAAGGTCCCAAAAGCTTGACTCCACTGACGTCATTAAGGTCGACTAGTTTAAGGAGGCAGCTCTTCCCCAGTCATCTTTTGGGTGCCTTCCAACCTGGGGGGCTCATCTTCTGGCACTGCATCAATGTTCCGCTTCTATTCTTAAGGTTTTCACTGGCTAACTCCTTTCAGAAGTAGACTGCCAGGTCCTTCTTCCTAGTCTGTCTTAGTCTGGAAGCTTAGCTGAAACCTGTCCACCATGGGTGACCCTGCTGGTATCTGAACACCAGTGGCATAGCTTTCAGCATCACAGCAACACACAAGCCCCCAGAGTAAGAAAAACTGACAGACACGTGGGGGGTCTGTTTATAGTGACGGAAAATTTGGCACTACACACTGGTGACGGTTGCACAACATGATTGATGTAACTGGTCTCGCTGAACTGCATGTGTGAAAAATCTTGAAATGGCAAATGTTGTTGTGTTATCTATATTTTTACAACAATTTAAAAAAATTAGCCTATAGGATATTTTCCAAATTTCTTTTCCTGATACACAAGCCTCTCCACCCTGGCTCAAAGGTGGCAAAGGTATCTACTTATATTTCCTGGAACATACTCTTCATTAAAAAAGTACAACAACCAACAAACACCTGTTCTCCACCACTCCTTGTTCTGTGTTATCTCTGTTGCTGTAACTCTTCCTACCAACTGCCCCTGCACTGCTCCACATATGCCTTGCCCTGCCCTTGCTACCTCTCCCCTAGGTCTCTCACAGTCGATGCCTTCAAAGGCGGCTTTAATCCTTTCCTTAATTACCCATGCCCAAATAGAATTCTCCAAAAAGATCAGTTCAAAATTGGGAATTACTTACCAGCTTATCCAGGAAGGTTATCATCTCCTAAGAAAGAAAGAAAATAGAAGTTAGAACTTAAATCTACCCTCTCAGATACATCTAGGTCAGACAGTGTTCGCCTTCAATCATTTCACTAGCCTTTGAGTCATCACCCTTTGCTTTCCAGCATCGTCTGAGTGACCAGGCCAACTTCAAACACGCGCAGTGATTTATTTAGTGTATGTCAGTATGCATCTCTAAGTGGGCTATACCCACTGAAAGATTTCAAGCTCCTCTAGGACAGTAATCATGGCTTCTTCTCCGGAGTCCCCAGGTGGTGCAAATGGTTAATACGCTCAGCTGTTAACTGAAAGGTTAAAGGCTCAAGTCTACCCTGAGGTACTTCAGAAGAAAGGCTTGGCGATGTACTTCCAAAAAATCAACCACTGAAAGCCCTGTGGAGCACAGTTCTATTCTGACACACACGGGGTCACCATGAGTCAGAATAGACTCAACTGCAACTGTTTTCCCCTCCCCCGCTCCCTCCAGGAGGGAAGAAGAACAAAACTTCTCTGCAGAGGTTTGCTGCTTGCCTTACGCTGTTTCCTCCACACAGACGGCTGCCCCAGGGATGGACACCTGGCCACAATGGCCAGCATCCACGGAGTGTTGGAGATGTGTAGAGGTGCAGGCAATGACAGTTATGGAGAGTCAGAGCTGGGACCATATGCAAAATGAGCAAGTAGGGGAATCCAGCTGGTGTGGAGTTGAGAGGAGAGAACAGCACAGAGTGTGGCGAGAATGAATCTGAGATGTGACAAGTCACTCGGTTCCTGCAGGGAAAAGATCGCCTCCACAACTGGCTTTCTCTTTCCCAGTCTCACTTCTCTAACTTGACAAAACCCTCCCTTTTGACCTGAGCCAATGTGAGGGGCCTGCATTTGTTAGAATGAAAAATGTCTATAAAACTGCATTTATCAACCCCTTAGTCTGCACCGAGGAGCCACAGTAGAGCAGTTGTTAAGCACTCAGCTGCTAACTGAAAGGCTGGCAGTTTAAACCCACCAGCCACTCAATGGGAGAAAGATGTGGCAGTCTGTTTTGTAAAGATTTACAGCCTTGGAAACCCTATGGGGCAGTTCTACTCTGTCCTATAGGGACGCTATCAGTTGGAATCGACTCGACAGCAATGGGGTTTTGGTTTTGCTCTGTACTGGGTACTGTGCAATCCACCTCACATTCATTATTTCATTTCACCCTCATAAGGAGCTGTGGGTAAGCAGTGGCATCTCCATGCTGCAGATGAGGAAACTGAGGCTTAGAGGTGTTAAATCATGTGGGTAAGAACACAAGGCTAGTAGTGGTAGAACTGACATTGATTCCATGTCAATCTGATTTCAAAAATTCAAAATAAAATATTCAAAACCTTTTTTACTATGTAGACCAACAACTTTATTTTAAATATTTCTCAGCCATTTGTATCTGTCCCTCTTTCTACCAACTGAGAAGTGTTCATTTGTTTTTTCTTTTCCAGATAAATTCTCTCTTTGGGGGCCAGTGAAATTGCTATTGGCAAAGAGTTTTTTAGTAAATAAATATGATTACATTTCAGTTCTCTACTGTTTTAGGCGCTTGCCAAAATTAGGGATGATTTTTCTCCCCTCTCAGATAGGCCTATTTTTGGTTCTACTAAATTAAGAAATGAGATGGAAATTTCAGGATAACAGGAGAAGGTGCAAATCAAAGGGTTTTCCTACAGCCCTTTAACTCTCTGCCCCAATAACAACAGCTTTCAGATATTACCTGTTTCAGTCTTCTGCTGGGAAAATAGCTTTCTTCTGGTGGAAGTCTGACAAATATAGACACCCCTTTTTTGGAAAGGGGGAAGACACAGGGTTTTTCCCACAACGAGGTGACTGCTCCAACGGGAAAAGGTGTTAAAGGATATCTGATTCTTTTTGTTGCCCTCTACCCCCAACCCTGTGCTAAAAACTGAGGGGCCCCCAACCCTGCCTGAAAACTGAGTACTGTGGTAACAGCCTCATTTGGGGAAGGATTAGTGGACAAGTTCCTCACTAGTCCCCATTTGTTATTGTTGGGTGCCGTCAAGTCGATTTTTGACTCAAAGTGACTCCATTTAACAGAGTAGAACTGTCCCATAGGGTTTTCTAGGCTGTAATCTTTATGGGAGCAGGCTGCCAGGTCTTTCTCTTGCAGAGTCAATGGGTGGGTTCAAACCACCAACTTTTTGGTTAGCAGCTGAGCACTTAACCATTATGCCATCAAGGTCCTTTATTCCCCAATAGCAAGTTAAAAAATAAAACATGAATGATATGCTCCACTGGTTAAAATGTGCATGATTTATCTTTTAAGATGGAGGCACATAGATATTGGTGTAACTTCATTATTTGTTATTTACATCTTGCCCCAAACAAAACAGAAAAATGATTGGATGGTGTCGGGGGTCTTTTTAACCCACTAATGAGAAACTGGGCTGACGGTTTCCCAGAAATTCCACAGCATGCCTAGCAAAGCAGCACACCTGAGATTCTCAATGAGGACCTAAGACTTGACTGTCCATCCCAGGTCAAAGAGAGCCTTGTGGTTCTGGGTCTCTGCGGGGTGTTGGGGTGGAGAATTATGTTCCAATTACGGTGAATGCACAGACCTGAGCCCACTATCAGCTACAGAAACAATTAGAGAACAATGTGGAAAACGAAGTAAATACAGCAACCCCTTTATATTCTCCTTCTATGGACAGCCAATCAATGTTGTCTAAAACTACACTCAGCACTCAAGTCTTATTCACAGCATCTACCCATGCTCTTTTTCTTTTTTATTCTTTTAGTTTTCGAATTCTCAAACTGGCTTCTCAGACCTGACAGAGCACCTGCTGCTATCTGATGAGCCCTCATCTCTGCAGCCTGCTCATAGTTCTCGGTGTGGAAGCAACTTCAAGCATGGTGTTATGTACTGAACTGTGTCTCCCCAAAATACGTGTTGGAATACTAATCCCAGTATCTGTGGATATAATCCCATTTGAGAATAGGGTTTTCTCTGCTATGTTAATGAGGCCATATCAGTATAGGTATGTCTTAAACCAATCACTTTTGAGATATAGAAACAAATTAGGCACAGAAACAAGGAAGCACAGATCGGGGAAGATAGATGGCATGCCACATGAAGACTGATGGCCAAGGAATGAAGGAACAGAAGCTAACAGAGACAGCCTTCCCCTAGAATTCCCTGAATTCGGACTTCCAGCCTCCTAAACTGTGAGAAAATAAATTTCTGTTCATTAAAGCCACTCGATTGTGGTATTTCTTTATAGCAGCACTAGGAAATTAAGACACATGGGATTTTGTTTTTCTGCAACTTTCAGATGCTGATATAGGCCAAAGTGGAATCAAGGCATTTTGGATTGAACTGTGTCCCCTAAAAAGATATGCTGAAGTCCTAATCCCTGGTACCTGAGAATGTGATCTTGTTTGGAAATAGGGTCTTTGAAGATGTTATCAGTTAACATGAGGTCATACTGGAATAGCGTGGGTCCTAATACAGTATGACTGGTGTTCTTATAAAAAAAGAAGAGACAAGGGCACAGAGGAAAGATGGCCATGTGAAGATGGAGGCAGAGACTGCAGTCATGCTGCCACAAGCCAAGGAACACCTGGAGCTACCAGAAACTGGAAAAGGCAAAGAAGGATCTTCCCCTAGAGCCCTGGAGACAGCACGGCTCTACCTATACCCTGAAATCCGACTTCTAGTCTCCGGAACTATAAGTCAATAAACTTCGATTGCTTTAAGCCATGAAGTTCATGTAATTTGTTACAGGAGCCCTAGGAAACTAATAGGGAAAACCAGCTGCTGTCGAGTCGACTCCAACTCACAGCAACCCAATGTGTGTCAGAGATGAACTGTGCAATATAGGGTTTTCAATGGCTAATTTTTTGCAAGATTGCCAGGCCTTTCTTCCAAGGTGTATCTGGGTGGACTCTAACCTCCATCCTTTCCATTAGTAGCCAAGAGCATTGACCGTCTGCACCACACAGAGATTCCTAGAAAACTAACACCCAATGTTAACAGTTCCAGGAGTGATGCAGCCAGGAGCTCATATTGCTCCTAAAGCCATCCAGAATTTCATTCCTAACAAGCAATATCCTCATCCTCCCACTCCCTGGATGATCCCTGATGCTGGGGAAATAGTTTCCATAAAGAAGGGTCTGGAGTCACAGACTTTTTCAGGGGCTGATCCACATAACTATCTATTGAAAAACTTGCTAAGTGCCCTTTGCTGCATGGCCAGGCAAGAATAGTGAAATTACACCTGGAAGGTCACTGTCCTTTATCCCACATCAGAGTAGTGTTTGCCCACCCATTTGTTCCATCCCAAATACTTCAATCACCAAAACATAACCCAACTAAGATCCCAAGCCTATCACATCACATCCATCCATCCAATAAAATTTTACTTAAGCCTATTACATGCAGACACTGTTTAAGCACTGGGGATACAGCAATGAATAAAACAGACAAAACCCCTGATCCAAAGGAACTTTTAATCTAAAAAGAGAGGAAGAGACAGAAGACAGAATATGTCATAATATTCCCTATCCTTTTCCACCAACTACAGTGGTTCCTTCTATCTCAGACTTCTCAGGGTAGCTGATGTAAACTGAGTTCTCCCCCAGAAAAATGCACACGGGAAACTGCCTCAACTTCTGCATGCATTTCCAGGTGTTCATGGACCCCTGAAGGTCCGTGCACTATAGATTAAGCATCCTCCCTACTTGAATGCAAGCAAGGTACTCTTTTTCACTTTCCAATTAACCACAGAGGGTCTGGATACAAGTTCTATTTTATTTCCACATTCAACAAACTGCACTTATACTCAGATTTGGAAGGAGTCTTAGAGACTGCAAAGCCCAACATTTACTTACTTTTACACCTGAGAGTGGAGACCTGGGAAGATTAAAAGATCTACCTGAGGTCAGACACAAGGAAAGGGACAACCAGACAATTTTCCCAACTTTAATGAACTTTAGAAGATACTATCATTGCTAGTT